GTATTTGAAATTATATTTGGAGTTTGGCCACACTACCACACAGCTCATTAGAATGTCCGCAAAATACCAATAAAAAGACATTGGGGTGCTGCAGCATATTTTTAATGAACAGAACCATTGTATTTAAAATGTGCATATTCCCATCTTAACAGATATGGGGCTACCACCTCTCAAAATGCTAGTTGACTGGCTGTCTCTTGCTCCAGCAAAGTTCTATGTCCAGGTCAATGGCTTTCTAAAAACAACAACTACTGAACTGGCCCGATAGTCAGGTAACAAGTGTTTTTAGAAGGAAAGGTCTGTCATGACGGTCCTGGTATTTTTCTCAAGAAAGGTTTCTTTTAACTTAACAAATTACAATTTGTCCAGGTTACCATTAAAGTGTCGCTAAACTCAGGAGTTAAATCCTAAAAATAAATTCAAGTACCTTAACTATTAAACACTAATGTATCTTATTTGTGGATCACTCGGCTGTAGATCCTCAAACCATCTCTGAATTCATTAATCTCTTTTGTTTCCCCATGTTAACTGTGTGTGTTGTAAAGTAACCACAGGTCCAAGCTCACTCCCCCGATGGGCTACAATTTCATGCTTAGTTTACTAATTTGTACTGAGATTGTAGTCTATCACGGGAGTGAGCTTGGAGTACAGAAGGAAGGACAGTGTCAGTATGAATTCAGAGATGATTTGAGGATCTACAGCCGAGTAATACACAAATACATTGCTGTTAATAGTTAAGGAACTTAAATGTACTTTTAGGATTCAACTCCCGAGTTTAAGTGAAGGGATTTGGGGCATCTCTTTGTTGAAAGAAAAAACATTTCTTGTTTTCTGCTCAAACACACACATATACATGATGTTTTCACTATGTAGTTACTTACTGTATGGCTGCATAGTAGAATGTTCCAAGCCAGGCACTGGATGTAAGTACATGGACTGTGACCATAACTTTCCCATATTGTCTAAAAGTTTTTTTAAATCTCTGGACTAGGCCCATGGATTTATCTTGCAGTGGATCTTCCTCCTCCACAGCTGCATCAGCATGGTCTATTGTGGACAGTGTTTCCTTACTACTGACTGGACCCTCATTCTTAGGAGATGAAGTGCTAAGGTTTTCCTTATGCTGGGAAGAATCTTGTCCAGGAGATGAATGAAGCCAATGCTTTTGTCCATTTAATACTAAAATCTGGCTTTCGTATTTTGGTAAAATAAGGCATCTCCTTAGATGTGTACAAGCTCGTAATGATGTGGAACAAGAGATTATACTAGATGGATGACATCTCAGATGTAAAGTCCTTAGTAGAAACATGCTTATAACAAGCCTAGACGTAAAAGAAATAAGAAATATTAGACTGCAGGGACACAGATACATCAAATATATACTTATACATAGTTGTGTATATAAAAAGGTGCGTAGTCTGATTTTATTTTTAAGTAAAAGGGGAAAAAAATAAAAAAAATCAAGGTTAATATTAGCTCTGAATTTTTATTTTAGAACTAAAAAAATAATAAATTTACAACCAAAATGTAGTCCAATGTGCTTACTGGATCATACACCATCCTCAATGCAAGTCCACTTTGGCCTCAGCACATTTAAAGAAGTGGAGGATGTTCTACCAGCTCTCTTAACACAACACAGTGATGATACTTGTAAACCTGTTCATATGATTTAGAGGGCAGTCAGACATGCAGGCAACATTGACAACCCTCAGATGTCAGCAGATCTTACAAGTTTATATCAAAAGAGAAGAAAGAAGAGCAGCAGGGAAGTAGGTAGATGGCTTATGGGGGAGGAACTATAGCACTTTGTTTTTTTTTTTTATACCTATCTGATTGATTGCATCTTCAGGCAGGAAGTACACAGATCGGATAGATGCCGCCCATATACATTAGATCAGGGCTGCCCATTAGGTCGATCGCGATCTACCAGTCGATCGCGATGTCCTGTCTTCTCTGGATCCCCGCTGCTCTCCCCAATCTGTATGCAGCTAGGATCCATGGAAAAAGTTAAGCTGCAGACAGCGGCGGAGAAGGAGCCGCTCGGCCTGGATCTGACAGGCGACGGCTCTCTCTCCTCACCGCACATGCTGCTCTTACAGCGGGGGATCCAGAGGAGAAGTTGCAGAGTGAACCCCCTGTGTGCGTGGCTGAGCGGCAGAGGATCGGTACATATCAGTGATATGTACCAATCCTCTGTGCAGGACAAACACTGGAGCGATTAGCTGATCACTTCAGTGTTTGTAAATAACTGGGGACACATAGTACTAGGTGTCCCCAGTTATTAATGAACAGGATGTGATTTACATCACTTCCTGTTCATTCATGAGTTTCTCAATGGGGAGTAGCATTGTACAGAGGCTCCTCCCCATTCAGAAACTGATAGTACATATTTTCTGAATGAATGGGAAGCCTCTGTGCTTTCCATTCATTTAGAACAGAGGCTGCAGAAAAAGATTGAGGACTTTGTGTCCTCAATTTCTTTTTCTATTCTAAAAGAGAAATATCAGGCCCCCAATATTTCCCCAAAGCCCCCCCCCCCCCC